TTAAAAATATAAATATATTAAGCTATAGCCTTAATATTATCTGTATCTGTTACTGTACGTTAAGAAATATACGATAACCGATCTATTAAAAATCTGAAATCATAAATCGAGATGAACATGTTTTGTCATATTGCTCATAATCTAGATATTATAGGATATTTTATTTTTCATGGAATAATCTATATGTAAATATATTATTTTTATAGTGGAGAAGAACCTTCGAGTCTTGGTGGTCGTTTTTCGAAATCATCTGCTGAGAGAGAACTTATACTTCAACGACGAAAAGAACATATGCGATTAACAGCACGGAGAAGGTATTTGGAAAAACATCGGAAATCCGAGATTGATTCGACAAATTCGCAGATAACGAATACTGAAAATATTGAAAATACTATATCCTAGGTATAAGCAGAAATAAGATTGATTAATACGATTTTGAATTCAAATTACTCAGAGCTTCGTAGTTGATATGAAATTGACAGATGTACATTTTTTATTTTATTTTTTTTTCCAAATACGAGACAAGATTGTGGAATATACAACGCGGTGCATACTTTTTGTTTGCTGATGACTAATTATTAAATAGAGCAAGAGCTATCGAAAAATCTCTTTGTGTATTTAATAGTTAGTGCTCTTTAATCTTTTGAAAACAACAAATTAAAGTCGCAGTCAAGAGATTAGATATGACATTTAGAATATTGAGAGGTTGTGAACGATATACTCATGAACGATTAGTATTGAACCAATTACTCAATGCCATCAAGTTATGATGAAAGCTACAATGAGACGACTAAATTATAATAGAAGATGTTAAGATTTTTACGTAATTTAAATCATAATAAATACCTACAGTGACATGTAATACACATGCGTTTTGAAAGAAAAATTGTTAGAGAGAGAGAAAGAATAACTTTATTGGGTTTTGTAAAGATCTTAAGCTGCATTGTCGTCCACTTTCTAACGAATTAAAATTTTTGTTTTAAGGCTTTCTACTTTTCTTTTATATTTTGCATAATTTGTAAAATAATCTTTATAAACTTATAGATTGAAGAGGGAGAGAGAGAGAGAGAGAGAGGGGGGGGATATTCAATTATAAATAGGTACATTAAATGTTAATATAATGAATGTATTTAGTGCCATAAATAAATTGAAGTGACACGTGCCAATTCAATGAGCATGGATTCAGTTATGCTCATTAAAGCTTTATTAGTTGTTTCTAAAAAAGAAAAAGGCATGGGAAATTTAATTAATCTTTATCCTACAAGTATGGGTCACTAGTGACCGAGCGATTCCTGTTCGTGCAAGTTTCTTTGAGTCTTTTGGTAATTATAAAAAAAATTATACTACATTTTATTATTTTCCAAAATGAAGTTCCAATATTTATTCTAGAAAGTTGAAAATATGTTGGTGAATTTTTAGAGATTTTTTTAATCATTCAGAGGCGTATTAAGATTCCCACCTGAGTTCTCCTCGGGTGTCATGTCATCCTTGTTTAACGTTCGAACAACAAGGACGACATCCGGGGAGCACCCAGGTGGGGGAATCCGAACTTGCCTCTGAATAGGTGAAAAAAACGGACGAATCTAGTGACCTCCGTTTGTATGGATGAGGCACCAAATTTCTTGTATGGTAAGGATTTATTTGAGCATTATGCCCGAATAATCGAATTTCCCATGGTATATAATATATACAGGATGTCGTATAAAGTGGCCACTCCTTTTTGTTTCGTAAATTAACAGAGATAGATCTAATAAATATAACATCAAATTAAACGATTCTAACTAAACTACGATATAATAAAAGTTGTCACGCTCGTCCTAATGAGTACAACGCGCGCGCGATGTATGATATAACAAAATTATTTTACAAATTATACGAGTTATTTCGGTTTAATGTTTTGCGAGCAACTAATACCTTTTCAATTTAAGCTCTGCGGTGTATCAAACTTCCGATTCTCGTATTGATCCAAATGACAACATGTTAACATGTTAATTGTCAATACGAGAGTCGAAAGTTAGCCATATTGCAGGGCTGAAATTGAAAAGGTATTAGTTGTCCGTAAAATTTTTAATCGAAATAACTTAGATAATTTGTAAAATAATTTTGTTATATCGTACATACATCGTTATGCTCGTTAGAATAAACGCTACAACTTTATTATATCGTATTATTTACTTTACATGTAAAAATGATGTATATCCCTCCGGTCTCTAAGGTGGATAATTTTTCCGAATGATTACTATGCTTGCAATGGAGTTTAGATAGAATCGTTTAATTTGATATTATATTTATTAGCTCTTATCTCTATTAATTTACAAGATAAAAAGGGGTGGTTACTTATACAAGGACACTCTTTATTAGAGACATGTTTTCATAAAAAAATAACGTTATCATTTGCATAAAAAATTTATTTAATGATTAGTAACATGCACGCAATGATCGGTGATTAATCCAGAAAAAAGAATATAAAATGTAAAATTTTTGATTCGAAGATACAATCAGTCATGCTATGTTTGTGTCTGTAAACAAGTTGAGGTATGTGCTTTTCATCATTATCTACTAAAAATTTATTTAAAAAAAAGAAACTTTTTAATTTGTCAAATATTTCAAGCAACACAGATTTTTTACATGACGTCAAGGAGACGTTTGTTCTGTTTTATAATTTATATTAGTTGTTACATTTGACTTGATAATTATAATTTGCACAAAGACGAAAATTAGAATAACCAGTTGTAAATCTTGTATATAACTTAATTTCGTATGTAGTGAGCAAGGGTTCGGAAGTTTACAAGTTTTGATGGAAAATTGTTTCTTAGTGTATTTGATTTAGATGACAAATAACTATTGACCTTTTCAATCTGGTGTTACCGTTATCGCCGTAAAAAATTCGCAACGTTATTACTAAATCGTTATTATAATAAAGTAACGATAAAAAGTAACGGTGTTACACGTATATCCCTGAAAACAATATATAATTACATATATAAAAGCTTAAACATGAATAAAATCTATTGTCGTAGACTTTGTGCTTGCATCGTAATGAGGGGCAGTTTATTGTAAGACTTTATAAACTTCCGAGCCTTTAATGATAAGTAAATTTTAATATTTTATTCTATATAATTGAATATATACTATATATATATTCCTGATAATAATAGATATTTCTTCTAGTTTAATGAAAGATTTTTATATTTTATGATTCACTATTTATTTTCATAACAATGCAATCTGCATATTTAACTTGTATAAATTTAATAATAAGATTCGCAGTTTTTCAGTTTTTTCCTGGTTTGATGATTGTGTGATGAAATTTGATGAAATATATTCACCTATATTCACACATAAATAACATACATTAGAAAAAACATATGTATCCGTATACATATATTAGTAATATATAAAATATACCCAGGATGTGCCACAACTCGTAACTGTAAATATAATAACAGATTCTTTGATTGAATTTCGAATCGAATTTTTTTTCCTTTAATTTTTTAATTTGTATATCTCTCTTTGTAATATATACGAAATTTTAAATTGAAATTCTATCAGAATCTATTCGGAAATTAATTGGAGAACATAATTGTGTATTTATTTGTCCTGCAAAGTAAATCGTAGTTCATAAAACATTTCTTCATCATGATTCGTAATTCGGATATTTAGAGAGATATATCTCGATGTTATCGCTGAAGAAAAAATTCATTTCAAATTTATCAGAAAATACTAACAAATATATACAAGATATAAATATATACATATATATCTGTTATTAGAACTTATGTTAGTCATAGGACAGCCTGTATTATGATAATTATTTATTAAGAGATATATATAGATTTGTGGAAATGTGTCTGCATCCAAGAGAAGAGAAAAACTTATTTTATGAATGATGCATTGTTGTATTAAAAACTTTGTAAGTAGCTTTATTTACATCGAACCATTTATATATATTTTATGGATCTCTAAGTTGCATATAAATAGATAATAAGTAATGAAACATAAGGCAATTTATATTTAAGTCAACTTTCTGTATATGGCATATACAAAATTCACTGTTTCCATTGTAGCTATCATTAATAATAGTGTTAGTAATAGTTTTATTTTCAAAACATTTAAATTATTACGTTTCATAGGCAGATAATCTGCATTAAATTTCTCAAGGAATTAAAAACTTTATTATTCTTGTTAATTGTCTCTATGTGTAAATAAAATATATGTATGAAAATATATCAATATTTTCATATAAATAAAAGAGCTTTATTAAATTATATTGTTTTGAGAAATATATAATAACTGGCTAGAGTTTGGCGAGTTAAAGGATAGTCTAATAACGCGCTTTCCTGAGTCTCTCGAAACTGTAACTTTATAATACAGTACGAACTTTTTCTTAGGATCTTTATAAATATGAGCATGGGGTGTCCTAAGTCTCTTCTATTCTATATCAATGTAATATCTATTCTACACTTGACATTGTACAACTAGTAATAGTAAGACAAATAAAATGCATTATAGATTGTTGTAGTTATATTGCTTACTTATTTTACGTAATTATGTAAATGTTCTTACAATTTATGTTACATAATGTAGCAAGTCAACACTTGTATAGATAATTTGATATCGATATAAATATTTTCCAGTAATTTCATGTTGTGTGAAGTATTTTTGCACAATAAATAATTCTATCTTTACTTTTCATATATGATAAAAGAAGATGTTTATACGTCATTTAATTTGACAAATGGAAAATTAATAATTTATTGTTAGATTACTTACCAGTAACACTACTATTCATTGGGCCACCTCCAATTTGGCTGATATAAATTTTTTTTATTTAATATTTGGAACGTAAAATCACGCAGAAAAGGAATTATGTGCTGAATGAATTGTTTAAAGTTATTATATTATTTTCATAATTTTATTAATCAATTACAAAATATTTAAATGAAAATCAAAGAGTAGCAGTAGAAAAACATGTTATATATTTATATATTAAACCCAATTTATTTTTGAAAATGATGCTGTTGATCTATTATATATGTATACTATAGCTGGACATCTTATCCAATGAAATTCATTATAACAATATGTAAAATAATATGTGCAAAAATAAAGTCTGCAAATCCTCTTTCTGGGCTTATACCATGAAATTGACTTCTATTTTGTGGATTAACTTGCAATCGGAGACAAACTGGAAAAGAAAAATAACGTAAAATCATCAATTACCTGTGTAAATGAGTGAAAAAAGATAATAGCTTTAATGTAATCTTTGAATATGAGATAAAGTACTAGAATGGTATACGGAAATTCGTATCAATAATACAATGTAGAAAAAAAAACAGAATCCAAGGCTACATATCAAAATTTAAATTTTGGAACATATAGCTAAAGACATACACATCTGCATTTGTAGATTGTATTTGCATATGCACGTTAGATGATGTAGTTAAAGAGTTGTGCGGAAAGAAAAACATATAACGAGTACAGATATAATTACCTCCGAGAATGAAGCAGGATACACAGGATATGAAACCACTGAGAAAACTATTGAAGGGAAAAGTGCCGACGAGGCAACAATACACGAACTGGATAACACCCGTCAGAAATACGTACAATAAGTACGCATCGATAATTTTCAGTTTCTTGGGTGTATTTTTTGTGTATTCTGACCAAAATTTATGTAACACTGTCAACGCCGTCATATTTATCAATCTTGACACAAAATATTACAAGAGCGAAATATTGGAAAATTTTTCACGTACAAACGCGTGACAAGCACCTGCAAAGTGCAAGCACCGGCGGTGACACGTATGGCACATATATTACACAGAATACACAGAGAGAAACCTTGAGAGAGGACATGACGCCCATGACGGCCCAAAACCTGTAACCGCAAAATGCTGCCGCGCACTACCGCCCTCTGAACAAGTGGATGTTAACTACACAATAATATCCACGTATTTTACCCCATTGGGCCGTCATGTCAGCTCTCTCAGGTTTTTCTCTGCCGTCGATATATAATTTCGTTAAGTCCATTTTTCAATGTCGCATATATATATTATACAAAAAACCTAATGTCGTTTTCATTTCATACACAATTAAGTGAGGGTAATGATTATTATCATAATATATTTAATACCTAACAATAAAATAAAACTCAGTGGAATTATACTACTGCTATATATTCATATTTTGATTTGAAATTTTACTATAGAACTTTAAGTAATAAATATATTTCTATACTTGCGCGATGTTTAAATAATGATTCACAATTTATAATTGCTAATTATTATTTTATAAGTTCGATTTTTTTCTCATATAATAGCCTTCATTTATTTATTCTAATTGGTTTTTAATTTTTGAAAAGAATATCATTTCTAGCCCGTATTCAAGACACTCTTTTATATTTGAAATTCTACAGTATACATATAAACATGAACTATGTACTAAATGCATGCTAACAACGTAAAAGCGCTTGCCGAATGCATACAGGCTTCTTTACCTTCATAAAACGCATGATCAGCATGATCCCAAATTTCGAAAAAGACTGAAATTGTTTGCGTTTATGTAGCATTTATATACCACATTCGAAAGCTAGCGTGATCCAATAAGCATCCGCAGCGCAGCGAGGCATCGCGCTCATTGGCTGGCATTCGAGTGGTGGGGTTCGCCGTTTGACGGCTCATATAAATAGCGCGTAATTTTCCCTTTCACGCTTTTGCGACTCGAGCAGGGGACGGGGGTATAGCCTGTCATTTTAACGTTGGAATAGTTCGCATCCCTGTCTTCGAATCGACTTTTCTCCATATTCTAATCTCTGCTGAATGTATAATAAAACGACGTTGGAAAAGTTCGCAGCCCTGTATTCGAATCGACTGTGACTTTCTCCATATAGCCTAATCTCTGCTGAATATAAAACGCTGGAATCTCTTGGAATATAAAACGACGAGAAACAGCACGAAAGGATCGTTTATCGTTGGATTTCTTTACTAAGGTAATCAATAATTAACTTTGCCTTTACTTCTCGTAACAGGGTAAATATCGAATATTGCAGAGTCTAGTATAGTATTAGGACACTGATTATTCGGTCGAAAGTATATTTCTCGCATACTCGTTCGATCGAAAATCAAGATGCGCGACGTCGTCGGGTCTCGCGACTCTCGCGTCGCTTTTTGCGCGTGAAGCGTCAAGTTGACCGCACACGGAAAACGACGCCGCTTCCCCTTTTCGCGTTCACAATATTCACATTTCGTTCGCGAAATGCGGTGGATAGGGGTGGATAGAGGATTTTTATATGCGATATTTAACTACCGCGTGATTACGACGCGTCGTTAATTAAGAGACGAGATTGGCATCGATCAAATGATAATTGAAACTTAGATTAAACCTGTTTGTTGTTTATTGCAACACTCAGTTCACGCAATTATAGATCCAATATTCGCTTATAAGAGAAGGACGCATTGCCGTGTCGCTCCTGGCGTGTGAAATTGATCACATCAAGAGACGAATTCACTTCGACACAATAATTGCATTTATGTTTTATTTGCAGAATGTAGCGAATACAAGATAGTCGGCTCCAAATGAGTGGCGTCGCGACTTATTGAATTGGTAAGCAAAATTTATATTAATTTGATATCGATAATTCGTTCGAGCATGTATTATTTAACAATACTCGTGCAGAAATTTTTCGCTATCTTAGATGCATTCTAATGTCCAAATTTTATTTGTGAAATATCGCAAGTATCAAACATGACAAATTTTTTGCGTTCTTATTTTTTTGCTGTCGCAACATGAATTATGCATCACGTATAATTAATATCAACAATACGAATAAAATATGACATGGTCGCATTATATTTAAGGTGCGTTCCGCTTTCATCCTCATACGCTATAAGCATTAGTTCATTCTTGTTGTCTGTCAAATATTAAACAGGACGTAAGCATCATTTATCCTGTTTTGTACTTACAATACTTGTAAGCATTGTAAGTACAAAACAGAGCGCATCCTTAATAATTATTTGCAACTGCACTTAATTTTAACAAATGATTTACTAAGTGCTGTCTACGTGTCACAGAATAAGCAGTGGGAAGAGAAGAGAGACGAGAAGCAGGCTTGACAATTCTGTGAGAAAGAGGAGGAGGAGGAGGAGGAGGAGGCTTAGGAAAAGTATTGGGTTTCGATGGAGCAGCTTTGCTGTAAGCAAGCTTATTGCTTACTTGCATAAAAAATTAGTCATTTCTTCCCATTAGACTGTTTTATTTCAATGACTAAAAAATAATAATTGAAGAAAAAGAATGAATCTAAAATGTTATGGAAATTTATTCTTATGAAGACAATTTTGAGAAAATGTATAATTATTTTTTAGCGGATACATAGTTGAAAAATTCAATGTGTTTAAAAATTATTTTTCGAATTATTGATTATTTTGAACGCTATTTTAATTTGGATCTTGTATTTGTATGTTACAGAACTACGTAGCCACATAGCTAAAAACTCCATTGCTGCGCATCGGTCGGTGAGTGACAAAGATTTTATTAGGTAACGAATCTGTGAAAAATGTAGCAGATCTATCATTATATTAGAAATAAATATAATGCTTTATAAATCTGTTAAATGCTTAAAAATGGATTAGCTGTAAACAATTAGGATACATATTTAATCTTGGATTTGTCTATCGTTATTTGTCAACTTGGTGTACTATTGTGTTTGAGACTATTATGTTTATACGCGGAAAAAAATGTTTCATATATAATTATATAAAATTATATAAAAAATTGACATATTTTATATACAATTATATATAATTTTATATAATTTTATTTATTTATATAAAAATATTTTTTCCCAGGATGTTTTCAGAATATTTTTCGATACTTATAAAACTCAGCTAAAAAATATATTAAATAACAAGTCTGTATTTTTTTTAATATTAAGTTCTATCAAAATTGTTTTTTTTTTTCGAGATTATGGATTTTGTAAATCGCGTTATCAATTTTATCGCCAGTAGCTATATGCAGAGAGAAATCTGAGAGAGGACATGATGGTCCAAAACCTGTAACCGGAAAATGCTGCCGCGCACTATTGCCCTCTGAAGAAGTAGATGTAAACTAAAAAAGAAAAACATTGAAATAAAAATATTTTTTTCTTTTTTAATTAAAAGCTGATGTAAATTTTTGAAATCGTTGAAATCTTTATTAATTTAATAGATTTTAGTTATTTTAGCGATTTCAACTATCTATTTCCATTAGGAGCACCGCGAAAAGTTGGATATTGTTGTGTAGTTAACATCCACTTCTTCAGAGGGCGGTAGTGCGCGGCAGCATTTTGCGGTTACAGGTTTTGAGCTGTTATATCCTCTGTCAGAGATTTCTCTCTGACCATACCCATTTTCGACACTACGATTTTATCGACAGTTTCGCAAAATAGACATGATACTCAGTTCTCATATCAAAAATGGATGTTGATGCGCTGATTGGTGCATAAAAAAGGTCGAGAGAGAAAGTAGAGGGGGGGGGGGGGGGGAGGACACATTGATTGGCTGCTAAGTAACGCACTCTATAACAAGATCCCGAACGTAATTAAATTACCGTCAAACGGTAAATAAAATAACATAAGAAACGTTAAGTTATATATATATTTTTTTTATTTATTATCGATCACTTAGAAGAATTGTTAATCTTTAAATAATAATTTTTATTAATCTTGTATTTATAAAAAAATCATGTTCCGTATTTCTTTTTATCATCAAAATTATTTTTTTCTAAAATTATTTTGCTGATAAAAAGAAATGCGGAATATGATTTTATATTTAGTACACAATTTTGTCTACAAAATCAATAGCTAACTGTTAGTGAGTTAATTTTATTATTTTGTTTGTATGAGCTATATCGTGATTGATTCTTTATCTTCAAAACGTAACAACTGCAACAAAATACTTAAATTAATTCATAACTTAGTTACATTGCATCACATCTTTATTTTTAAATATTTAAAGACATCATAAATAAATATCTACGATTAAAATTTACTTCAGCTTTCAATTAAAAAAGAAAAAAATATTTTTATTTCAGTGTTTTTCTTTTTTTCTGAAAATCATATCGTGTCAACTAACTGCAATGTAAATATCGAAATTTGAGAATATATTAATAAATCATTATCGTACAATTTCAATATCATTTTTATAATTCCAACATATATCACTCGTTATATAACATAGAAAAAATTTGCGAGATCTATAGTTAATCAGCAGCTCATTCTTGGATAATTCAATATCTGGGATGCACATTTCAGGTAAAGTTATGAGAAAGATTTAGGGCCGGTTTTACTACAATTAACACCGGTCACTTGATCGACCGATTAAATTTGAGAATTGCCACTGCAGCGTATTTAACTGTATTTCCTGAACCGGATGCATGATCGATCGCTCCTTGAGATGGAGAAAAAATCGCAAATGAATAGAAAATATGTACTTATTCTTACGCAATGTCCCGAGCAGAACGATGATGTAAGAATCGATCAAGTTCATCGGGGTCGAGGAAGAGACTGCTTATCGTTCTCTAACCGGAGATGCAACTTCGATCATGCGTAAAATGGCATGGCTTCAAAGTAGAGTTGCTTCCTTTTAGATATATAAATTGTTCGCTCATCATATTCAAAGAATTCGTACAGCGAGACAGAGATTATTCCGAACGAAACAATCTGTGTGGATCGTTGCACGTATAGTTCATAGTCGATATTGATTTAGCGCAATATTTTTTGTTTGAGTTTTTTTAATATACTTATCAATTGTTTATCTGTTAAGTTTAACATATTTCTAGTTTTTACTTAATTATATTATATTAATGTCATGCCGTAGA